CAAAGTCAAGGAAATCGAGCCTTAATCCAAATCTCTTACAACGAAGTCAAGCTCGTCTTTTGACTCTTGAGAACAAGTCCATCTTATAGAGTTCGCCATCGGGATCTCAAATCTGTTTTTAGTTTTCCCAGAACGCTTCGCAAACGCGAGATATTTGGCATAGAAAATTACCCTAAAGCCGCCTTTTGAAGTCGTTATGAGGCCACCACACGCCCTCGCACCAGATGCTTCGATGGCCTAGTGGATAAGCTACTAGACTACCGAACGAAAGTTCTACCCTTGTGCCCTCAAGTTCGAGTCCCAACCCCGCCAAATTTTTGGCTTTTTTGTTTCCTTACGGATTTGAATTATTGACTTGAGTTTTATCCACCGCTTGTAACTTCAATAAATCATTTACAGCTTATCATAATAAATGAAAAGGCCAGCTTGACTCGATGCCTTTCCTTATTAGACTGGAGTTGGCTTACAAGTTTTAGGATCATATTCAGATATCCCTGACTCTGGTACTGGCCTTGCTTAACCGGCTTTTAAAAGATCCCTGGTAGTCAATAATTTATTGACTGAATCATTGATCATTCTAGCAATAAATCATTGAAAGAAAGAAGAAGTTTTAAAGAAGAAATCGAATAAATGCAAATCCTCAGGTGGGGGGGAAACAGAATAAGGAAGGGAGGCTGAGAAAAGTGGAGAGGAAGAGTGGAGAGGATGGAGGAGAGGATCAAAGAGGGAAAGTAGTGTGAAGGGGCGTAAATTACTCCAATTTCTACCCTCAGAAAGCTCTCAGTGAGGGCAAGCTGTGCTTTGAATCTCTCAATGCTTTCCTTCTTCCAAAAGCTTGCAATTAGAGTGTGTGTGTGTGTGTGTGTATTTTGAAAATGAAAAATGAAAAACGAATGACTTGTACTAACAGCAGACAGACAGAAACTATCACTTGGTGACAGTAAAGACAGCAACTAGAGTCAATTGTAAGTAGTTGGAACCGGTGCTGTTTCTGGGTGCTAAACCAGGGCTACGGTAACTTTCTTAAATATATTAGGTTGTTCGAGCCTTTGCACTGCTTAACTCGTCGGGAAGCCATTTCCCGCATCTGATCGCCTTTCCAATGGCGTGGAGATGCTCATCAATGGTAGAATTAGCGAGCTTTGAGCGAGCGAGCAAAGATAAATAGTCTTTGTCAAAAAGCAAAACTTTGCCAGCTAAAGGATTCGAACCCCTGCGAAAGGCTTTCAGACCGGATCGATAGCCTATACTACTAACCATTACACCACGACCACTCTTGGTGAGGCTTTCTTAAAACAGGCTTTGTCAAAAGGGTCTCAAAAGGGACTACCTATTGGGACCGTGTGCCAGAAAGGGAGCGATTACGCGGCCGCACAAAGTACACCTCACCCTTTCTCTCTTTTTGCTTAAATGTGGCTTAAAGAGAAGATATTCAGTTGTAAATTTGTACCCTTGGGTTTTCAGGGTCGGCGAATCGATTCAAGGTATTCATTTTATTGAGTTTATTGATTAAAATCCAAATAAACAGATCTAATAAGCCTAATGAATCTAAGAAATTCAAAATTCTCTTCTTTTCCCGAATATTTCTCGTTTCTCTAACTCTTTTAGCTCTTTCCAGTGTCATAAATCATCATTTGGCTCTTTCGTTTCTTTTGAGTAAAGTAAGGGAACACATTTGCATATTCTAATGACGCCATCTGCACTAAAGCTGAGAAGAAATGGAAAGAAATAGAGAAAAGGACACTGGTTGAATATCTCTCTTTCTTGGTTGTTAAATGAGAAATATAATGAGAATAGACAAGAGATTTCAATGAGGTGATTTCGATGAGGAGATTTCGATGAGAAGTTTTCAATGAGAAGCTCTCAATGAGAAGCTCTAATGCTTCCAATAAGAAGCTGTCAATGAGAAGCTGTCAATGAGAAGCTGTCAATGAGATGCTGTCAAAGAGAAGCTCTCAATGAGAAGCTGTCAATGAGAAGCTCTTATTGAAGCTCTCAATGAGAAGCTCTAATGCTTTTTCTAAAAGCCATAAAACTATCGTAATCTAATTGACAGTTTACAGTCGATCAGGGCTCCATTTTCCCATAACCCCATCACTAGCAGATTGAATTTGAAGTTTAAACTCCATTAAGTGATCGATTTTGAACAAAAAGTGATTGACATTGCCAGAAAGCTATTGTTTATACGAGCCCCGCCTTTCCCTACTACTGTACAAGTGTATTTAGAGGCAATTCAATATTGAAGGCAATTTGAAGTCATTATAAGTCTCTTACTGGGTTATTGGATAATACATTACGTTCGTTTTAGTAACACGTTGATTTTACAAATGTTCAATCCATCAAAGTCAATTTAGACTTTATCATATTGATGTTTCTAGTAATAAATGTAGAAATCTCGAGATGAAGCAATGATTCAAATATGGGAAGAATGGTGGAAAAGAAAAGGGAAAAGATGGCCATAAATTGTTGGATCTAATGGAAAGAGTGGAGAAATGAGAAAAGGAATTTCTTGACGATGCGAAGAATGAAAGAAGCAGTGGGCAATTAGTTGAAAGGGGATATTTATCAAAGAAAGTTCATAGAGCTGAAGTGCAATGGTTCACATAGAAGTATCGTATAGAAACAAGTCTAAAGCAAAGTCAAACTTCTCAAAAGCTATAAGCTTAGAAGCTTAAAGCTAAAGCTATAAGCTAAAGCAAGCTAAAGCGTAAGCTAAAGCTATAAGTTGTGTGCCTGGGGGAAATGCTTGATCTGAATAGCCAAACTTATAGCTAGATAAGTCAGTTTTCTTTTGGTTTTGAGTTAAAGAAAGAAAGACGAAAGTCCAGAATAAAATGCGAAACGAGAACAAAGCGATTGACCGGTCGGTTGTTGCGAATGGGGAATTGGGGCTAATTTGAAGATTTGGGTAATTTTAGAGAAAGATTCTAGCGTAATGAAAGAAGGGATTTAAAGAAAAGGTTAAGGAAAGGTTAAGGAAAGATTAAGGAAAGGTTAAAGAAAGAAATGCTTTAACATTTCATTGTGTTTTTTCAAATTATAATCTGACTATGAGATTGAGAATGGTGAAGAAGAAGAGGAAGAAGGAGTGGAAGAAGAAGAGGAAGAAGAAGAGGAAGAGGAAGAGGAAGAAGAGGAAGAAGAAGAAGAGGAAGAAAGTAAAAGTGGGGAGTGAAAGGAGGGCAAGGTACGGCTTTAATAGGAAAAGTCAAAGGAATCGGTGAAAGGAGAAAGATGACTTTCAGCACTGGGAAAAGAGAAAAGTTATTAGAAAGAAGTTTAGGATTAGAATTTGGAAAGTTATGAAGAAGAATAGAAGAATAACTTACAGCAGAAAATCGATCTTATCTATCTTGCAAAGTGATTTTATAAGTTACGGTAACTTCTCGTACTTTAGATAAAAAAAGATATAGAAAAGATATAGCCATAGAAATTGATCTGTAATTAAACATTTAAGAAATTCAATATAGGGCAAGCAGGGCAAGCAGGGCAAGCAGGGCAAGTAGGGCAAGCAGGGCAAGCAGGGCAAGTAGGGCAAGTAGGGCAAGCAGGGCAAGCAGGGCAAGTAGGGCAAGTAGGGCAAGCAGGGCAAGCAGGGCAAGCAGGGCAAGTAGGGCAAGCACTAGTTGAATGGTTAAAAATTGACTATTACAGAGGCAGATAGCTAAGGTCAGAGCCAAGAAAAAAGGCATGAATGTAATGAATGCAAATAGTTAAAAAGGAAACGAACGCCAAATGGATGAGGGATAAGGAGGAAAAGACACAGCTGGATGCCAAGAGAAAGAGCGAAAGAGAAAGAAAGAGAGAGAAAGAGAGAGAAAGAGAATCCGATCCAGAACCGGTCCACCCCAACCTGTACTCTCTCGAAGCTTCTCAAATCCATCACCCAATCCCATTCCTTGTATTGCCATTTCTATTTTTGACTTACCCTTTCCCATTTCTCGAAAAGTGAGTCTTATAATAACCTCGAGATTTTTCCTGTACAACCCTGGGGAACACTTGACTTGTCCCTTGACTAAAAGCTTTTCTAGAAACCGGCTACGAGGGCAAGGTTGCCTAGGATTTATTATGCATTGAAAGGGAATTACATCTTGTTTTTGGCTTCTATAAACAGACCTCTATCTGCACTGAATTCTTCATTTCTCTTTGAAAGATTTCTACGAAAAACCCGCGTTTTCACTCTTGAATTTCGTTGTAAGTGAATCAAAATTGACTTTAAGATGAGAAATTGAATTGAAAAAGATGAGAAATTGAACTAAATAACCAAAAACTTTTAGAATTAATAGGCTAATTGATGTATTTGAATTGAATTTTATTCTTTTTTTGATAGGAAAAGAAATGAAAAGACTTTCTGGAAAGCCTAATAAGTAAACAAAACTAGTAAACAAGTCTGGATGAAGTTTATTCAAAGATGGACATCCAAACGGATGTCGGTGGATGAATGAGTGGTCATTTTGAAAGAGAGGAAGCCGTGAAGAAGAAGAAGAAGAGGAAGAAGAAGAAGAGGAAGAAGAAGAAGAGGAAGAAGAAGAAGAAGAAGAAGAGGAAGAAGAAGAAGAGGCAAATGAAGCCCTTATAGAGTGAGGTCAAAGCAGAGCCTTTTGTCCGCGTAATGTGATTCATTTGTCCCCAATTCCGGACTGACCTGGTGCCCAATTTGAGCCGCTCAATTTGCTGTTCCCTCGAGCTATTTGGTGTGTATGTTTTCGGAAAGCCTTTTCATTTTCTTTCGTTTTCTTTCATTTCCCTATTGCTCATCAATTAGTAAACTCTTTCAATTGAGTCATTTTGCAAGTGCAAGCTATAGAAAGCTATAGAAATGCAAGTGCAAGCTATAGAAATGAACTTTGTTCTTTAGAATTTTGATAAAGCGAATTTTTGATGATTTTTGATGAGCCGATTTACAGCTTAACACCCAATGAACACATTTGAAACCGTTGCAAAACCTCAATTTTTTGTACAATTTGAAATTATTTGATATTTTTAGTATTTTTAGTCACCTGTTTCACTCGAAGCACTCCCACCGATCCGCCACTCGAGTCACCATCCGTTGTCATATAGAAATAACGATTCGAATCATCGCTCAGAGTGTATGTGAACACGTTGTCACTGTAAAATTGTGCATACAAAGATATTTTTAATTTTATTGTAAAAATGATGGACTCCTGTTCTTGAGATAATTCTGGAATTGCTAAATCTTCAATTTTATTTGAAGATTTGAGAATAGAGAATCACAGGGTTGACCCTAAAGCTTGATTGGTTGATCAGAATCGAGCTTGATCGGTTGATCAGAATCAAGCTTGATTGGTTGATCAGAATCGAACCTGCCGCGGCAGCCTATATTTGTCTAAAAGTGACGCCGGGAAAAACCTCAGAACTCATCGCAAACAAAATGCAGAGAAATGGCAAGGGTATCGTTAGAAAGAGTAAAACCAGGGCTACAACTTTGTTATACATCGTTTAGCACGTTCTTGTGGAGTGAATATGAGAAAAATCGGAAAAATCTAAATTTTGACGAATTCCTTAACATTCTGTTCGTAAAACTTTACGCCGTAATAAATTTTTTGTGAGTAGGGGGATTTTTCTTGTCTGGACAATAACTAAGAATTGTCCGAATTCGGATTTTTGATTCCAAGGCATTTTTTTTGGACGCGTTGTGTGCCGCCAACCCTGTAATCTCAAGAGCCACACTGGCTCCATCCCAAAACAGAGTCGAAAAGTTTCTATTTTTTTTTGGCAGAAATTTCCAGTTATTCTATTTTCTATTTCAGGCATTTAGTGAGTATAAATAAAGCCCTAAAAAGCTTGATAGTTGTAGGTTCTAATTAGTAGATTTAATAAAATGAATAGCACCCAGCACTCCCACCAGAGCTCGTATGTTACTCTCCGGGAAAAGTTTCAGCGGCCTCTCTGATCTTTACGGTGGCACTTTTGATCTTTCCGGTAAAACGTCTATAGTTTTCCCGCGGAACGTACTTTACTTTCAGAAAGTTTCCGGTAAAACTTTCCGGCGTAACTTTCCAAGGGACTTTCCGAGGGACTTTCCAAGGAAAAGTAGGCTCTGCGGGGAAAACTATGGACTTTTTATTGGAAAGATCAAAAAGGCTGTCGGAACTTAACATAGCATATAGGCAGAGCATAGCATACCGGCTCAGAAGAAGTAAATGCTATCTGTTTAGTGGGGGATCTCTTAGGTGTCATTTAATTAGCAAAAATCATCGCAAATGGAAACCATTTCGATTAAACTGCTCTTTTTCTTTTCTTGTTTTGAATATCGTTTTGAATTTGGGATCAAGTTTACAGTCTAATATGCCGAAGAGATCAATTGAGATCAATTCCTCATCGAAATCATTAATTGCTCTCTGTATTTCTCTACAGTATTTCTACAAAAAACCTAATTAAGTAATTTTAATTTAGTAAACTATTTCTTTTTTTCTTAAACAACGGAGAACAACATGAAATCTCTCGGAGAAGTCCTCGATTTTCTCAGAATTCGTTAATCTAATCAAGCCTTTTTTTGGAATAGAGACTCAATCCCGAATCTACTAACTTATTGACACTCAAGGTCGGCACAAAATGTCCAAAAAAGTCTTACATAGCTTCATCATCTGGATCGAAAGCCAAAACACTCATCACCGCCTCTCCAACTCGAGCCGTTTCCGCGATTTGGCCTCGATAAAGCGCTCGTTCAAAGTAAGGAGCGTTATCGTTTTTATCCAAGACACGAATCGTCACGTTGCCAAAGCCTAAAACAAGAATGTGTCCAGAAAGTTGTCAAAACTGGCTGTAAGTTGGCTGTATTTTGAAAACAGAACCGGCTCTGTTGCCGGCAGAGGCTCGAGCCTCCTTTAGCCTCCATTAGTACTGCACTGTACTTCTAGAGTACTGTAAAAGGTGTCTTTTCAAAACCGACATTCGTTAGCATTCTAGGATACTGTAGCTAGTTTTATTTTAAAAACAAAGCCTCTATTAGTAATCAAGGGTGTAAAGATGTCTTTTAAAAACCGACCCTCTAATGGTGGGGTGCCTTTGTCTGTGGCTCGAACTTTGATCACAAATTGTTTCTCCGATGGCAGTTCCCGGTCGAGTTTTCTCTGAAAATATTGAAAAGCTATATAAATCTAAATCTAAATATATGTTACGTCCGATTTAGACTAATTCTAGATCAGATATTTGATCTAGAAGCAGTCTAGGTCAGGCATTTGATCTAGAAGCAGTCTAGGTCAGACATTTGATCTAGAAGCAGTCTAGGTCAGACATTTGATCTAGAAGCAGTCTAGGTCAGACATTTGATCTAGAAGCAGTCTAGGTCAGGCATTTGATCTAGAAGCAGTCTAAATCAGACATTTCATCTATTAGGTTGGTGAATTGAAAACTGTGGGATTTTGAACTAAAATTTATTCAACAGAAAAACATAAATTCATTCCAAATAATTTCCATTATTATTGACGCGTTCTGCCCATTTTACAGGCAATTTGCGGATTCCTCTTTCTTCGTAGGATTTTGGTTTGTGTGTGAGACAAGTGTGAGACTCAAAAATGATCCCCAATGGACTGGAGATCTCCAATGTCCCAGTTTGAGCACTTTCTTCAAAAGAAACCCATTTTGGTGTCAATAGAAAAGTTGTAGAGAATCAAAAATTAGGCTTATAGTCAAATTTCCAAAAAGATACCCTTAGTAGTTTCGCTTAAAATGCAAGTTTTGTGAAAATTCGTAAATTTAGCATTTCTTCAAAACCAGTTTTTGAATCGTTCCGAAAATTTGGATATAAGCTTGATTTTTGATTCTCTACAACTTTCCCATTGACACCAAAATGGGTTTCTCTTGAAGAAAGTCCTCAAACTGTCACAGATGACAATAGCCGGCAGTTTTCAATTCAACAACCCAATAGATCAGACATTTGATCTAGATTCAGTCCCTAGACTCCGTCTTCTATTCGAGGCGATCTTTTTCTCTTTTTATTTGAGACCTATCTTTTATTCAGAGGAATACGGTAGGCATATTATATATATTAATATATTAAGACTACTCACCATGGCAAAGATTTTCCCGGTCGTCGAATCAATCCGGAAAACCGGCTCTCCATCAAGCTCTTTATTGACAAAGATCGAGTACTGAACGTATAGATATAATAAGAATTTATATTTGATAATATCTAATATCTATATAATATCTAAATAACATCTAATATCTTATCTAATATCTAAATAACACCAAATATCTATATCTAATGTCTAAATAACATCTAATATCTTATCTAATGTCTAAATAACATCTAATATCTATATCTAATGTCTAAATATCTTATCTTTCCATAAAAATCACCTCCAATCTCGCGTTATCCGTGGCTGGATCGTCGAAATCCTGTGCTCGAACGTCCATTATATAAACTCCGTCTCGGGCTAAGATATTAAAATCAAAAAAATATCAAGATAGATCAAGAAAGTTATACTATTTAGATATAATATAACTTTTTAAAATATCCATCTTGATACTTTTTTTTTTCACTTACAATATAAATCTCTATTCTCCTCAATCGTCCCATAGAGATTCTCAGGGAAAACTGGCGCGTTGTCGTTGATGTCCTTTAGTTTCACCTGGAAGTTAATGTTTAGATATACAGTACTGGAAAATGAAATATCATATTTGAAAAACGATCGTCACTTTCGCGCGTCTGTAACTCCCTTGTCTTTGAGTTTAAACTATTAGTGTTCTACATTTTCTGAAAGCTCTTTTCAAGGGCTACACAATGGTAATATTAATATTTAGAAATACGGTAAAGACAAGGGAGTCACAGACGCGCGAAAGTGACGATCTTTTTTCAAATATGATATTTCATTGCTCGGTAGTGTATATTCAAGGTTTTACCTGTACATCTAACTTTTATCTAACTTCTACCGGATAAACATCTTATGTAAACCTCACCTGGACATCAGCGTATCCAATCAATCCTCGACCATCATCATCAACAGCTTGAACGATGAATTTCCACGTGGCCACGCCAAGCGGTGGATCACTGTAAAATATAACATCTTATAGATAGATTATAGATTAGATAATATTCAAATTTTACAATATCTAGACTCATCATTACCGGGAATCACTTTTGCGAGATCATAGATGCGATAATGCAACTGATCTCAATAGTTTCTTCTGGAATAAATTTTTGAAATGATCTCCTGCATGGTTTAAACTCATAGAAATCTAGCAGGAAAAATGTTTTTTCATTGGCTGCCTTTAAACTAGTGTTTTGAGGAGAGAATTGATGATGATTGATGGACTTGATGGCGTTTTATGCTCGTTTATTAAATGTAGTCACACTAAAAACACAAATCATCCATCACTTAATGATCCTTGATACCTTTTTTTGTAAAAGAAAACAAATTTCAAACAATTTTTGACACATTTGATGACTTTGACCACATTTTGACTACACTTTGACTACACTTTGACTACATTTTGACCACACATTTTGACCAAGAACTCCAGAACCGAGTTGCGAGCTGATTGATGTGAGAATTCAAACTTTGATAGCTTCTATGAGAAAGTTGAGAGCATCAATCGCTTAAATAATAAGCACCATTGCAAGAGACTATTTCAAAAATTTATTCCAGAAGAAATTCTTGAGATCAATTGCATTACCACATCTATGATCTCACAAAAGGGATTTCTGGTAATGCTGACTCTTTAGACACGATAAAATTAGCATATTCTCTATCTTTTCATCTATCTTCTCATCTATCCTCTAATCACTAAACGTACCGATCCAATTCTTTTATCAATTCGATCTCTCCAGTTTCTCGTCCAATCCGAAAGAATTCTCCAGCTCCTTGTCCCTCCAAACGATAAATGATTCGACGAGATTTCTCATCCTAAAACAAAATATCTAACTAATGATCTTAAATCATTTAAAATATCGGCTTAAAAGCCCATTATTTAAGCTTTGTCTTGAGTCAGTTGTGTGCTCCCTTTTCTATTCATGGGGTAGGCTAGTTTCCGCGACTTTTTTTGCGCAACAGGGTTATTTGCGCAACTGGGTCGTTTGCGCAACTCGCCATAACTTTCTTCTAAGTCAGCCAATCTTTATGATGTTGGTTTCATTTTGTATATCTCAATAAGTGTAACAAAATGAAATCAAAATCATAAAGATTGGTCCACTTAGAAAAAAGTTATGGCGAGTTGTGCAAACGTTGCGTTGCCCAGTTGCGCAAAAAAAAACTCGCGGAAACTAGCCTACCCCGAAATAACAGATAACTATTAAGATTCTAATAATGAATTAGATTTAATAACGAATTAGATTTAATAATGAATTAGAAAGCTTTTACCTTATCAGCATCAGTTGCATTGACCCGGAAGAGCACTTTAGGCACATTTTTGTCTTGTTCGAGGATGGTCGTTGTGTAAGTTGGCTGAAAAAAGAAAGAAATTAGCTCCAAAGTACACTTTCAATAATACTTACAAATTCAAAAACAGGAGGATTATCGTTAACATCATCGACATAAATGTGCACATCGGTTGACGTATTGTGACGGCCATCGGAAACTTGAAGACGCAATTGGTAGACACTTTCCTGGAAAAGGGGTACTTTAAAGATATTCAAATATATCAAATATATCAAATATATCAAATATATCAAATATATCAAATATATTAAAATATATTAAAATATATTCAAAAATTATCTAAATTTAAGTCTAATAAGTAAATTCAGTTTTAGTAGAAATGTTTTCTTAAAAAAGGGCGCTCAAAAAAAGGCTACCGTATCTACTGTCTGTCTGTCTTTTTGTCTGTCTTTTTGTCTGTCTTTTTGTCTGTCTTTTTGTCTGTCTTTTTGTCTGTCTTTCTGTCTGTCTTTCTGTCTGTCTTTCTGTCTGTCTTTCTGTCTGTCTTTCTGTCTGTCTTTCTGTCTGTCTTTCTGTCTGTCTTTCTGTCTGTCTTTCTGTCTGTCTTTCTGTCTGTCTTTCTGTCTGTCTTTCTGTCTGTCTTTCTGTCTCTCTGAGACTACGGTAACTTTTGGCAGATAATTGCCATCGGCATAAATGGCTAGAAAGGTGTCTTTTTGGAGGGATGTTTGCACAATCCCGTGGTGTATTGGTTAGCGTCGCTGTTACCAAAAAGTCAAACCCACGTGGGACGTGGGTTCGACTCTGGCTTTAGATTTCCTAACCGTAGAAACATATTACAAAACATATTACAGTATGCACCTGAGTACTAGGATTCACCTTTTCATAATCGAGTGGTTCTTTCACGAAAATCGCTCCACTATCCGTTCGCACACCGAACGGAATCCGACCCCCGAAAGCCCCAGTCAGATCGTAGCGGAGATTTGAGTCTGTAAAGTTTATAGCTATTCATATCTATAGATCAATTACAGTAATAGGCATACAGTAGTCAAATAGCATAGAATCAAATAGGATAAAAGATTACTACAAGGATTACAGTATACAAATTTGGCTATAATTTAACTTTTTGAACTCTAAACTTATCGTAATCCAATTTAAATGTAAATCTTTGAGCTACAGTTCTTTGAGCTACAGTATCTTTGAGCTACAGTTCTTTGAGCTACAGTACCTTTGAGCTACAGTATCTTTGAGCTACAGTTCTTTGAGCTTCTTTAGGTACTGTAAACCAGTTTTAATGTAAATCTTGAAGCTAGAGTACTCTTGAGATACTTTAGCTCCAAGATTTACACTCAAATTGGCCAGACTTTCTCCAGAAGCCTAACTTTCTTAATTACTAAGTACAACATTCTTGATTACGGTAACTTTTACGTAGAAGACTACAAATACAGTAATCCATTAGTGCTAGATAGATATCTAAATAGTAAATACTTCAGAGATTAAAGTATTTTATCTAAATTATAATATTATTTCACGTACGTTTGTCCAAATCGTGCGCTTTCACCGTGATGATTTCGTGGCCCGGTTCAGCGCTTTCGGTTACTCTAAAAAAGCTGTATGCTAATTTTCTAATCAATTTCTAGTACTGTACTAGTACTGTAGAAGATTTTGATCGTATTTGAAGCGAATCCAGGCTTTAATCCCCCACCTGCCCGTGTATTTCGGCTCATCGAAAGTCGGCGCATTGTCATTCACGTCACCGATCACAATTTGCACTTTTACATTATCTAAAGCATATCTAGATTAGAGAAATCTCTTAATTCGTATGGAAATTTTCAGTAAAAGCACCTTTATTCGGTCCATGCACTCCAGGCAAGCTGCTCGGCGCATTATCCCGAGCTTCAATCGTCAAAATGTACATATCCTAAAGGTTTTGAAGGTTTTGAAGGTTTTGATTTGAGTTTTCAAGATTAAAAACAAATTTCGATATAGAAATTGATATAGAATTTGATATAGAATTAGAAAAAAAATGATACTTTTTGCTCTCGATCAAATTTCGAATTTGGAAAAATTTCGCCAGTGACTTCGTCGATTCGGAAAAGTCGAGAGGCGATCGGATCTACGTCAAGAATACGGTAATGTACCTAGAAAGGATGGATATTAGCCTAATAATTCAGATATTAGTCTAATAATTCAGATATTAGTCTAATAATTCAGATATTTTGATATTTAGATCAATTTCTACAGTTTCACCTCATTTTGTGGCCCATTCGAGTCTGAGTCGACGGCTTTCAGCGTAGTGATTGGACGATTCTTGAACCTGAAAGGGATTTGAGGTTGATTTGAGGTCGATTGACGTCTTTGATGCTTTTATTGGCAAAATGTGTACGAGATTTGACACTGGTCACTTGGAAAACTATTATTTAAACTAACTAGACACGAAAATCTCCTTGTAGAGTCCCACTTAGCTCCAGGGATCTTTTAAAACCGATAGAACATGCCCAGAACCAGAAAGCCTGCCAAAACAGCTCAAACTTAAGTTTAACAGTGCCAAATAAGAAATAAGAATAGCTCCAATCGATTCGCCGACCTTGAAAACCCAAGGGTACAAATTTACAGCTGAAGATCATCTTTTTGTGCGTCTACAAAGCAAAAAATCGCGATGTCGGTGTTTGGCGAGGCGTTCTTTGAGTGGCAGCATAATCGCTCGCTTTCTGGCATAGGATCCCGATAGATAGGTTTCCCTTTCGGAACGGACAAACTACTCGGAGCCCCTCAGCCATTTCCCTTTCGACCGCTCGCGCCCCGCCAGTTGAGTCCATTACTCGCGACGCATCCAACCAACCAGTTGGTGCACCGCGAAAAGCTCCGAATCCAGGCTCCGAACCACCCTGGTTCGACTCCCACCCCAGCAAAATTCTTTTGGTTTTTTGAATCTGGCTTCGCGTTCCCGTTTTATTGGGTTGGTGCATTGAAAAATGCGGACTATTTCACCGGACTCGCAGACAAGGCGCGTCCTCATGTTGCAAAACTGACTCGCTCTAAAATAAATAGCATTGCTTGGGAACTTTTGGCGCATCCCCCATACAGTCCGGAGGTCGCCCCTTCTGATTACTATTCCTTCCAGATCATGCGGAATGAGCTTGCGGGAGAACACTTCGATTCGGAAGAAGCAGTCAAAGAATTGGTCCCAAAAGTTTTTCGATTCAAAACCAAAATCCTACTATGAAAGAGGAATCCGCAAATTGCTTGTAAAATGGGCAAAAGTCGTTGATAATAATGGGAAATTATTTCGAATGAATTGATGGTTTTATGTTGAATAAATTTTAGTTCAAGATCCCGCAGTTTTCAATGCACAAAAGAATAGCATTTCTTTGACAATTACTCAAATTACTCAAGTTAAAAATTACCTATTTATTCACATAATTACTTACTCAATAGGAACACAGTCTACCCCTGAGTCAATCTACAGGACACAGGGAACACAGGAACACAGTCTACCCCTGAGTCACTTTACCGTTAGAGCTTTATGCGAGAACTATCCCGGATCAAATCAAATCAAATCAAATCAAATCGGCTTAAAACAAAGTTCAGTTCTATTGGAAAAGCTTTGGAAAGGCCTTGAATCGCTTATGATTAGATGCATTTTTAAAAAACTAACTATTATGGAGAAAATCACGGCTACAGTACCCTCCCAAGACCAAGAAAATCAAGAAAACCAAGAAAGACACACTTTTCTAGATATTCAGCCGGTGTCAATTCCTCATCAACAGTTCCCGTAAAGAGATCGACGGTGAACTGTGGCACTCCATCATTCGCATCATCGACAAGAACGGTAAAACTTCTCGAGGTTGACACTTGCGAGTTCACATCCTAAAGTGCACAAAGATTGTATTTTAAAGCTCTTGCTGTCAATAGGTGCTCTGTCTGTCAATAGGTGTACAACGGAAAAACGAGATTTGGAAAAACGAGACTTCAGGCTACACTTCAGGCTACTTTTTCAGAAGGTTTTTGAAACCAAAGAAGCTTGAAGTTTTGAAACCAAAGAAGCTCTTCAAAGAGAGCTTGAAGAATTGTATCTTGGGAAGAGATCCGGAAAAGTAACGAAGTGGCTAAAGTAACAAAAATCTCGTTTTTCCATCGTACACTAATTGACAATCAGACGGACAAATGAAAACAAATGAAAATCAGAGCTTCTCAGAGCTTCTCAGAGCTTCTCAGAGCTTCTCAGAGCTTCTCAGAGCTTCCCAGAGCTTTCAGAGCTTCCCAGAGCTTCTCAGAGCTTCCCAGAGCTTTCAGAGCTTCCCAGAGCTTTCAGAGCTTTTCAGAGCTTTTTAGAGCTTTTCAAGAGCTTTTCAAGAGCTTCTCAGAGCTTCTCAGAGCTTTTCAAGAGTACAAATTTTCATTCGCTTCAAGTTCTCAACCTTTTTAATGCCTATTCTTTAAAGTTATTCTGCAATTCTTCAAGTGTTTTAGCTTTGATTTCTACCATCGTTTTCAACCGTTACTATTCTTTATTCTATCCCTCTACCGTAGCCGTCAGGGTGAGGGTGTAGTTGTGCGCTTGCTCGTAGTCGAGTGTCTCCATAATCGCCACCTAAAAGGGTGATCTTGGTTTTGATTTAAAAAAAAAACATTATTCTAAGATTGGTGAAGTTATTTAGAGATATTTAGAGTTATTTAGAGATATTTAGAGTTATTTAGAGTTATTTAGAGATATTTAGAGATATTTAGAGTTATCTAGAGTTATTTAGAGTTATTTAGAGGTATTTAGAGTTATTTAGAGGTATTTAGAGTTATCTAGAGTTATTTAGAGTTATCTAGAGTTATCTAGAAGTATTTAGAGATATTTTAAGAGTTTTAACTCTAAATTTAAGTAAAAATTCGTTTTTTTTCAACAACAATCCCTTTCTGTGATTGCTTTTCTTTTTGTGGACCGGAAAAATAGACACCGAACAATAGAGAGGCTTTAATACGACTCTAATATTGACGGGATTTACTCAGCTATATGCTATTACTCGTTTTTCACCTCAACCCATTCCCTTCCATCATCGATTCGACTGAATTGACGAAATTTCGCATCCGCTTTCACTCCCCTCAAAGGATCGGTGGCTGTTAGTCTAAAAAAATTTAGAGATAACTTTGAAAAAAGGTATTTAATTAAAGATTAGACTTGTATGAAGCTTTAGATTAGCTTTGATTTTAGCTTTGATTTAGATTTTAAAGATTTAAATTTACTTGTAAACAATCGAACTGCCCGAGCCGTCGCCGGCCACCGCGTGACACCGGAGGAGCACTTTGTTTAGCTGAAATTTTTGCCTATTTAAGCCTGAACTTGTACTGTAATAGTACTGTAATAGTACTGTAATTCGTACTGTAATAGTACTGTAATAGTACTGTACTAGTACTGTAATAGTACTGTAATTCGTACTGTAATAGTACTGTAATAGTACTGTAATAGTACTGTAATAGTACTGTAATAGTACTGTAATAGTACTGTAATTCGTACTGTAATTCGTGCTGTAATAGTACTGTACTAGTACTGTAATAGTACTGTAATAGTACTGTAATAGTACTGTAATAGTACTGTAATAGTACTGTAATAGTACTGTAACTCGTACTGTAATAGTACTGTAATAGTACTGTAATAGTACTGTAACTCGTACTGTAATAGTACTGTAATTCGTACTGTAATTCGTACTGTAATAGTACTGTAAAATAGGTATTTTATCTAACGATAAAGGGATTACTTCAGTATTCTCAACAATGGTCACCACATCACGACAATCGGGACTCGATTGCCATCGAGGCGCGTGCTGAGCCTTTTCATGGATTTTGATTGTCACCTGAAATGTCATAAAATGCAAATTTTGCTTTACAACTTGTAGAAGCTTTGTAGAAATGAATTTTGTGATCAAATATAGATCAAACAGTGATCAAATCTATGATCACTCTAACCAAACAAGGGAAACGCATAGATCCCTTTCACAGCCATTATGATATTATGATTCCAAAATGGTTAATGGTCCTAAATGGCTCCAAAAGTTCAAAGAAAGACTCGAACCCGAGAGCATCCGCTTTGTAACTGAACACACTACCACTACACCACCGCGCAGTGAAGCCACAGAACTAACTAGGCCTATTATCGTTGTGGAGAGAGAGAAACCCCATTGTCACCAGATATTAAAAGCACTATAACTACCGTAATCTTGGAGGTTTGTAGCTGAATTTTTAATATTTGGTTCCCCAGAGTCGATTCTACCTACACACCAATTTTGAGGGCAATCGGCCTCCGTAACTCTATGTGTTTCCCTTGTAAACTTAAGAAAACATCGGATTACTCATTTACACATTAAAGGATTTGAATGGCAGACATTTACTTTCATTTTAGATTTTAGACAAAAGACAGCTTAAATCAGGACCGCTTGAAAGCTGATTTCTATATGGCAGAGCTCTAGCTACTCTGGCAGAGCTCTAGCTACTCTGGCAGAGCTCTAGCTAGTCTGGCAGAGCTCTAGCTAGTCTGGCAGGCTCAGCTGTCTGGCAGGCTCTGGCTAGTCTGGCAGGCCTAGCTATCTGGCAGAGCTCTAGCTAGTCTGCAGAGCTCTAGCTAGTCTGGCAGAGCTCTAGCTAGTCTGGCAGAGCCTAGCTAGTCTGGCAGAGCTCTAGCTACTCTGGCAGAGCTCTAGCTAGTCTGGCAGAGCTCTAGCTAGTCTGGCAGAGCTCTAGCTAGTCTGGCAGAGCTCTAGCTAGTCTGGCAGAGCTCTAGCTAGTCTGGCAGAGCTCTAGCTAGTCTGGCAGAGCTCTAGCTACTCTGGCAGAGCTCTAGCTACTCTGGCAGAGCTCTAGCTACTCTAGCTACTACCTCTAGGTTAGCCTTTAAGCAAAATTCTTGCTAGAATTGCAGCTATTGATGCAGTACCGTCCACACTCACTTGTACAGTCGAATTCTGTGCCTCGGGCACTCCTTTATCTGTGGCGATCACATTAAATTGGAAACGCTCTTTGTGAAGATCTTTTGGAATCGGATTGATCAGAGTGATCTCTCCAGAGTTTCCGTTTAACAGCTCGAAATAGGAGATGTCCTTGCTGAAATGAATAGAATGATTTCACTCAAGTGATCGGCGATTTTTGACGATTTTCTACATAAAAACTTCGGCTCTTGCGTAATTTCCGGAGTTTTTGGAAAAATCCTCGGGTCGTCACACTTTGAAGGTCTAGAACTTTGTCTAGAGATCAGATTTTCAGTAACTTTTTATATCATTGAATAGAGGATATTTCAGGCTTTCAAATGATACCAAATAGAGCTTGATTGGATAATGGAGTCAGGAGAAAGAGTCAGGAGAAAGAGTCAACTCTGAGCAAGAGAGCCTATCCGACTCGGGTGTTGTGTTGCCTGGTTTGTATGGGAATGAAAAGTCCAATCAAGCTCTATTTGGTATCATTTGAAAGCCCGAAATGTCCCCTATTCAATGATATAAAAAGTTAGGAATGATATAATTTTTGGACAAAGTTATAGGCCTTCAAAGTGTGACGACCCTTTCAAAATACCCGGATAGGGATCGTGCTCATTCCAGCGCTTGTTAAATGAGTTGTATAAGTCGAATCGGAAAGTTTTTATTAGAAAAATGTAGCCAAGATTAAGGGCTGAAATTCTCTATATAACACTTAATACTTTTGAAATAAATTAAGCTTGCGAAAGTTGTCCAAAAATTTGTCTGGATAATTGGTCAACATTTATTTTGGCTCTAGTTTTATCCGCTCTTTTTCTATTTTATTCTGCGCTTAGTTTAGAAGTGAATTTCTAGCTTAATGCTTTAGAAAGTCACTTCGATTTTGCGCCATTTTCACCCTTTTACCTAAACTCAGCTCCCGCTGATGGATCAGGAGCCAATTGATAAGTGATACGGGCATTGTGTGGAGCGTCTTGATCAAAAGCGAACACTGTCACGACAGAGGTTCTGAAAGGAGACGTTTTTTAGATTCTTTTCATTTCATTCATTCATCTCATTCATTTACTCATTTCATTTACTCACCCAATTGTCTCCGATCGACTCACACTTGTCTCATAGCTGGCTCGATCGAATTGTGGAGCGTTATCGTTGACATCAACAACTTCCACAGTAAACTGACAGAAACCGATCAATGGACGCTCGCCTCGATCTGTTGCCTAAAACTGAGAGAACAATGCGATCCTGATTTGAGCCGTTTGTCTTCTAATTCTCCTAATGTGCTCAGGATTCTGTGCTTCAGCTCCAGCTCCAGCTTCAGCTCCAGCTCCAGCTTCAGCTCCAGCTCCAGCTTCAGCTCCAGCTCCAGCTCCAGCTTCAGCTTCAGCTCCAGCTTCAGCTTCAGCTCCAGCTTCAGCTCCAGCTCCAGCTTCAGCTCCAGCTTCAGCTTCAGCTCCAGCTTCAGCTCCAGCTCCAGCTTCAGCTCCAGCTTCAGCTTCAGCTCCAGCTTCAGCTCCAGCTTCAGCTCCAGCTTCAGCTCCAGCTCCAGTTCCAGCTTTATCTTTATCATTTAAACACCTGAAGTCTTTAGCTCTCTTTAGCTCTCTTTAGATTTCTTTAGATCTCTTTAGATCTCTTTAGATCTCTTTAGATTATTACAGACAAGTCACCAGGTTACTGTAGTCAGTTATTTTAACTCCTCAATCCATTTTGCAACAAATTTTGCTCATATCTTGATTGGATTTCTTTGTAAAACGTTCAATAGAAAATTCAATAGAAATTCAATAGAAAATTTGACTTCGTTTGCTTTCATTTGATAGAAAATTTGATTTCAAATCGAATAAAAGTAAATTCAACGTTTAAAAAGTAAATTCAACAAAGAAATCCAATCAAGATATGAGTAAAACTCGTAGATTTCCAAAGGCATTGAAGATTGAAGAGGCCGAGTAAACATAGCTGATTGACTGTAAGTTAGTGTAGCCAAGCTAGTGTAGCCAAGCTAGTGTAGCCAAGCTAGTGTAGCCAAGCTAGTGTAGCCAAGCTAGTGTAGCCAAGCTAGTGTAGCCAAGCTAGTGTAGCCAAGCTAGTGTAGCCAAGCTAGTGTAGCCAAGCTAGTGTAGCCAAGCTAGTGTAGCCAAGCTAGTGTAGCCAAGCTAGTGTAGCCAAGCTAGTGTAGCCAAGCTAGTGTAGCCAAGCTAGTGTAGCCAAGCTAGTGTAGCCAAGCTAGTGTAGCCAAGCTAGTGTAGCCAAGCTAGTGTAGCCAAGCTACTCTAGCCCATTTACTGTAGCCAATTTGTTGTAGCCAAGTTACTCTAGCCTATTTGCTATAGCGAATTTACTCTAGCCAAGTTCCTGTCCTTTTCCTTTGCACACCTTAACAGTGACTTCTTCTCTCGGTCGGGTTTCTCGATCGAAAATCACGTGCGGTGACGGTTTCAGCTCGCCCGTTTGTTTATCAATGATGAATGGTTTTCTGAAGATAATAATAACAAATATATAATGTAACCTTTAAAATCTAAACTTTAAAATTAGATCTACCTGCTCTCCGACTGGGCATAATAGAGTGAGTAAACGATTTGACCGTTTGACGATGAGTCTTCGTCGACTGCCTCGACCTAAGGATTTTGTTGTTTAGATAAGTTTAGATAAGTTTAGATAAGTTTAGATAAGTTTAGATAACTATCTACCGTAAATACTGTAATAGTACCCCACCGCCCTCGTACAGTCGCGTAGTCACAAACGTCGTAGTCGTAGTTTTTTCGTATTTCATTGTTTTTCAAAGCGCCCGTACTTTCAAAAAATGCGTCTTTGGTATCAAAAAATAGCCCTGAATTTCAGCTATTTTTTGAAACCAAAACGAACATTATAGCATAAACCAGTGTCGAGAAAAACACGTTCAAAGCCAGACTACGCAACACTCCGCACCGTCATTATGGGGGTGGGGTACTATTACAGTATTTACGGTATATAAATAAGTTCTACATTTTTAAAAGCTTACTTTAATAATTGTTGGCGGATTTTTCTTGTAAACACCCTCTTTAATCTTGGCGATTTTACTGTAACGGTCACAGTCGCGGAATTCCGGTTTATTGTTGTTCACGTCTTCGATGCCTAAAGATAGAAAAGCTACAGTACAGCTACAGCTTTCTAAAAGGCACCTATTTCGGAAAGCTACCATAATCCGACGGTTTCTATTGAATAAGCTTGATTTTGATGGCTCTAAAAGAATCACAAGAGAAGGTGGCAAAGCTGAGGTCGCCAAATGACATAAGCCAATGAGAATGACAAAGACATAACTAATAGACGTAGAATTTCGCGCTGATACAGAATCTGCCAATAAATACAGCCAATAATGGCCATCCAACATCAACAAAACACTTAAACCATTTAAAGCTAAAAGAAGCAAAACAAAAGTCAAAGGCCGGACTCGAACCCTAGAGGTCTCGCTTTGTGTTCAAGCCCACTGCCAATCGGCTATCATGACATTTCATCTGCCCGCTTGATAAGTCGACTTATAAGCTGTAATCTTATAATCAACAACGAAAAAAAGACCCTGAGGTTATAAATTGATTTACCAAGGCCCGGGTTGACATGGCGCGGTGGCCGAGTGGTAGTGGGCTTGAACACAAAGTTGGACCTATAGGGTTCGAGTCCGACGTTTGACCTTGTTTTGTTTCTTTTAGCTTTGAATGGTTTGAGTGTTTTGGTGATGTTGGATAGCCATCATTGGCTCTATATATCATTGGCTGTATATTCGACTCAGTGCTACAACGGTTAGTGTATGGTTCATGTCATTTGGCCACCTCAGTCTTGTGATATTCTCTTGTGAGTCAGTGATACCAAATTGGATTGGATGTAAACTGGCGGCTTTATTTAATTAACTTTTACCAGGTTACGGTAGCTGGTTATCAGATTATTAGATTACGGTAGCCAGGCAACCGGAGTACGAAATCAGTCAACTTGATTACAGTATCCAGCAGATTAAGGCCGGGTTACAGGTTAATGAAAGGCATCTAATAAAAGTTTTCCCTTCTCTAAAACCCACCAATCAATACCGTAGCGGTGGCGGTGTGGGTCGAGCTTTTCCCCTCGCAACACGACCCATCATCCCTTGCCAATACCGTTAAATTGTACGGAGAATGATCTCTCAACAGATCCTCAGCCTCGACACCCGGGCGTAATTTGATCAATCCTAGAATCCGTAATTGATCATGAACCTCAACTTTCTAAGACCTGTGTCCTTGTCAATATTGAATAGCCTCGTCTCGACTACTTCCGATCCATCATCGAGTAAAAACGCGTACTCGACTTGATCTCGATCCGGGTCTCTGGCCTAAAATGGTGAATTTTCAAATTTTCAATATTATTTGACAATCCTTGAATGATCTTATGAATGTTTTTGACTAGGTTTGCTTTACAAAAGTAGAACCTGGGCTAGCGAGAAGCCAGAATTGGACTGAAGGTCAACGCTGGTAAGGCTAGAGCTAAGCTTCATCCACTTATCTCAGCATCAAACTAAGTCAGGACAGGATAAACCAGAGCTGGGCCAAGCCAGGACAAATTTTAAGCATTTTGAGTCTAGGCGTAGCTTGGAATCGCAAATCAGCCAAAATGACTGGTTCTCGAACATTTGATACGCGTCCCGCTCCTTTCGCCATTGGCAATCTAACTTTGAGCTCGAATATCTCGGTCTTCAGCTGTCCAATTTAAATAGTTTTTGTACGAATCGATAGAGAAAGATTTGGTGCATTTAATGATATCAAGGATACCGAAATTGGACAGTCGAACACCGAGAAATTGAAGCTCAAAGTTAAACTGCCAATGGCAAAACTTTGAACTCGAATATCTCGGTCTTCAGCTGTCCAATTTAAATAGTTTTTGTGCGAATCGATAGAGAAAGATTTGGTGCATCTAATAATATCAAAAATATTTCAATTGGACCATCTAACACCAAGAAATTTGAGTTTAAAGTTAGATTGCGAATGGCAAAGGGGGTGGAGCAGGTAGCAAATGTCCCACAATGAAAGTTACTAGCTTACAGGGCTTGGATTACTAGCTTACAGGGCTTGGATCCTAGCTTCCCAGCATCCTATCTTTATCTGATCTCTGTCTTTATCCTTCTGTATTGGTAAAGTAAAGTAAAGCTTTGCCAAGGCTTCAATATCGTTTTCTTAATAGCTAACCTGTATTTGCACAACTGGTGTGCCTCCTTGCGCATCTTCAGCCACCCAAGCTGTGTACTGAGCGGTAGGCAAAAACACAGGCGCCTCATCATTCGTGTTCTCAGTTCGGATGTGAATCTGGAAAGTTCATTTTTCGAGGAATTAAGCAATTGAAGCATACTCTAGCTAAATGTCATTCGAGTACGCTTAGCGTAAAACGATTATCACAGATCACATTTAGCTTGAAATATAACCAGCTTACGGTTTCAGCTTCAGACTGTCAGATTTCAGATTGTCTGAAGCTGGAGCCGTCAGCTGGCTTTGACAATTTTTTGAAGTACACCAGGAGTGCTGTGTTTCTATTTTCTCAGCATAAAGTACATAAAGTACATAAAGTACAGAAAGGAAAGCAAAAATCTCAACGATTTTCGACATCAACTTACCATAGCCGTTCCCCTTCTCGACGGATTTCCCCCATCTTCAGCGCTTACGTTGAACTTGTAGATGAAGAAACGCTCTTTATTCTGATCGGCGTCCAATCGACGCTGGAAGGGGAAATATATTGCTATATTACTGCAATATTACTACCGTAAATACTGTAATAGTACCCCACCCCCAGAATGACGGTGGGGAGTGTTGCGTAGTCTGGCTTTGAACGAGTTTTTCTCGACACTGGTTTATGCTACAATGTTCGTTTCGGTTTCATAAAATAGCTGAAATTCAGGGCTATTTTTTGATACCAAAGACGCATTTTTTGAAAGTACGGGCGCTTTGAAAAACAATGAAATACTAAAAAACTACGACTACGACCTTTGCGACTACGCGACTGTACGAGGGCGGTGGGGGGTACTATTACAGTATTTAGGGTACCATATTTTTAAATAACATATTAACTAAAGATAGTAACAAATGTTTTTTCGAAATCAAAAACAACAAAATTCGTTTTTAGCAATTACAGGGTGACCAGAAATAACGTTGCGGGATTTTCGGCAACCTAAAATCGTCAAAGTTCCAATTTTGGGAGACAAATTTATTTTTAACCTACTCTCTGTGATTGTTTTTATTAGTTTCTTTGTTGTTTTACTTTGTTTCATTGTTACTTTGTTTCATAGGATGACAAACAAGGGGATCTGCCATTCTGGAGCTTCATCAATGGGTGGGTCAATGCGTGAGTGCCTCAAGGTCAATGCGTGAGTGCCTCAAGGTCAATGCGTGAGTGCCTCAAGGTCAATGCGTGAGTGCGATCGCGCGATTGCTACGTGTTTCTCATCAGCTCGTCTCAAAAGCGATTAAGCGATACAAGGAGCTTGGCAACGATGGCGACTACGCGACTGTACGAGTGCGGTGGGGTATTACTACAGTATTTACGGTATATTATTATATTATTGTCATCTAATATTGTCATTATTGTCATCTAGAAATAATAAATAAATAAGATCAAACTTTTGGTGAAATCTCGCCGTGCTCGTTTATCGTGAAATTCCCGTCCTCGAGTCGGTAGCGAATTTTCGCGTTCACTCCGGAATCCTTGTCATCAGCGTGGACTAGAGAAGTTTAATATAATGAGTGAATAACATTTATAATCTATTTATATAGTTTTATAAGTTGTAGATACCTTTTAGTACTAAAGTACCAGCTGGAATGTCCTCTTTTACTTGAGCCGTGTAGAGTGGTCGACTGAATTTGCGATAAAGTTTAAAGTATTTGAGAATTTTAGATAATAGATACCGTACTCTCTAATCGTAGTGCACCCGAGCAAGTTGATGACTATTTACAGACTTTTACAGACTTTTACAGACTTTTACGGACTATTTACGGCTTCCAAAGTTTAGAGATTCGAGATCAAGAGCTGTTAACATTAGGATTCGATATCAAGAGCTGCTAGCATTGTACTGACAAGTGGAAAATTGCGGAAGTGGGATCGGTTGTTAGAAAAGTAAAGTTTTCTAACAAGATTCGTGTCTTTGTAACAATAAGATAATTGAATTTGAAAGCTGAATCTTTCAATGAGTTACAGTCTTGTCTCTAATAGTCGTGCACCCCAGCCGAGCCGAGTTGAGGGCTATTTACGGCTTTCAAAGTTTTCCCAGAAGCTCAACACTCTAATCATCGTCAAGATCTCATCGTCAGCTACATTTTCCGACCCCACATCGATAGGTTCTGATAAGCGGTTCTCGAGATTTCGAGGAATTTAGGAATTTAGGCTCAGAGTGCACTACGCATTAGAGAAAATACCATACGCTAAGTGGTTTAAAGCCAGTTTTAAACCAGTTTAAAGCCAGTTTAAAGCCAGTTTTAAAGCCAGTTTAAAAGCCAGTTTTGGCTGCTTTTAAAGCCTGGAAAAACCTAAAAATCGGTGAGTTATCATTGATGTCAGCAATGTTGATCTCCAGTGGAACTATCGCTTCTTTTCCGTCTTCTTGAGCAATCACTGAAATTTTAAATCATCCAAGTGTTAAACTAATAATAGAAAAGTTGAATTGACTCATTAACTTTCCAATTTAAACTCTTAATCTATAGCCTTCGTTAAATAAAAGCTTAAGCTACTAGGTATGCTAGCTAGCTAATTAACTAGCTAATAGCTAGGCTAGCTAGGTAGGCTAGCTAGCTAATTAACTAGCTAGCATAGCTCTTTAAATCTATAAGAATTTATTAGAAGCTCAGCCAGCCACTCCAGCCAGCTCAGCCAGCTCTTAGAAAGTTCACCAAGTATTTACGGTCGTTGGGGAACTGATCGTTGGAGAAATGATCGTTAGAGAACTTGGATATGTTTACCATTTCTTGAGTATTTCTTGACTATAAGTATTTCTAGACTTTTGATCCCTTTCCTGGCTAGAGAGTAGTGAAACTAGCGTCATATGGATACCAATAGGACTCAGCGTCCCTATTGGATTCCCCATCCTTTTCCCATTCTATCAATGAACCCCAAATTATGGTATAATCCCTTTTCACTCTTCTCTGAAATGAACTCTTCTAATTGCTCTTCATTTGTATCGAATTCTATGAGCATTTTACTGCCAGACGGGTGTTCTTTGTCTTGTCGTGTAATCGCTCACTTTCTGGCACATTCTCCTAATAGATAGGCACCTTTTTCGAGGCAAAAAAGCGAGGGAGGTTCTGTGACAATTCTATGAGCATTTTGCTGCCAAACGGGTGTTCTTTGTGTTGCCATGTAATCGCTCGCTTTCTGGCACATACTCCTAAGAGATAGGCACCTCTTCGAGCCAAAAAAAAGCGAGGGAGGTTCTGTGACTAAACCTGGATTTGGTGGATTTGGTCCACCAAATTTGGTCGCGCTGGATTTGGTCCGAATCCATGCGTGAACCCCCAGCGACGGCCGTGGCGCAGTGGATAGCGCGACGGCGCACAGAGCCCATCCTCCCCACCAGGGCTCGGTTCGAATCCCTCACTTGACAAACTCCATTTTTTTGACAATATTTTTGACTAGTATCCTTCTTTTTATATCCTTCAAACCAAAACCAGTCAAAACCAAAACCAAAACCAAAACCCAAAGCTGAAACTGATCCGAAAAGCGGATTTCATCTCCCAATACTTTTTCTATTATTTTAAAAGTATTTTTGGGATCAATCAGCCAGGAGAAGAGCAATTTCTGCATTTTGATTTTGATTTTCAATTTACCAATAAGTTGATGCGTTTTCGGATGTCCAGGATCATCATAGTCAAGAGATTTCCTTAAATGAACGATTCCCGAATTGGCGTCGATGCCAAACCATGAGCTCTCTTCTCTGAAAATAAAAATAATTTAACAGTTTTCAATTAGTGCAATTATTGGGAGTATAGCCGACAAAAAGGTATGCGAGCTATACGATTTGACACAGAATTTGATGCTGATTCCGAATCTCTATTCCGTTTTTACTAAATGACAATCTGTCGAGAGTTTTAAGCGTCTAAAGTTGAGTTTAAGCGAGTTTTAAGTCTAAAGTTGGGACTCTGAAAATGTGGTCTTAGCGGCCTCCATGCGGATCTTAACGGCTTTCTTGCAGGCAGGTCGTATTGCAGACGTGGCCGAATGGTAAAGCTTTCGTTTCTAGAGCGAGACCTCTCAGGTTCGATCCCGGCTTTGATCTTTGTTTTGCTTTTTTCAAGAAATCTTCTAGTATTCTTTATGTGATCATATTTCTTGTTTGGAAAAAACATAAATTCAAAAATGAAACTCAAAGAAACAGATTGCATAACCAGTTTCGCCAGTTGACCTTCGCTTGTTAGTTAGATTTGATCAAATCTCTGTTAAGAGACTTTTAAAGCTGAATTTCAAGTGGTAAAGGGGTTGAGTAGGCTGTCAGGTTTGTACTTTATACTCGAAAGCGTAAAGAAACCCCATTTGGCGCACTCAGGTTTCTTTCTCAGGTCAAGAAAGTGCAATTGAATGCATTGAAAGGATTGAAAGGATTGAAAGGATTGAAAGCATTGAAAGCAATTGAGATGTGTCTCGTTTTTTCAAAAGCACAAAGTACACAAGGGCTATAAAATCAAGAATCTAATCAAGCATTATCTAATATTCCTCAATATAAAAAATTCTTCAATTCAAACCTGTCCCCATTGGCTGTCGAGTACAATTTGTACGTGATCGGCCCTTTGCTTCGTCGCTCGTCAATCGATCGAAATCCGTGCGCTCGTACATCGACCACACTAAATTAGGCTAGATTTTTAAATGCCTAAATTTACATATTAAATAACTGCATTCAATTATAGGGTACTGTAATACGAGGTTAATCTATCAAAAAAAGCTATTAGGCTATTAGCTATTAGGCTATTGGTTTTGCTGAAAATCCGCTCACGCGATTGGATCTAAAAGACGAGAAATGTGATCTCTGAAAGAAGATTTTAATCTAAAGAAAAACAATCGAAAATCAATCGAAAAACAATCAAAAATCAATCGAAAATCAATCAAAAATCAAAAAAAAACCAAATTCGGATACCTATAATCGATTAGATTATCTTCTGATAGAGAGACGAGATATTTTTGCTTCGCGAATTGTGGAGGACGATCACCGGCCAGAATCTCGAGCACAGCAACTTCGGAGAGCTGGGAAAAGTTGAATGAGAAACTTTCGACTATGGAAATGACCCTCGCAATGTAGCGGAACAAGGGCTAACGGAGCTAAACAAGGCTAGAAGCTAGGCCAGGTACCCTATCATTTTAGGACCAGACAAGGCTAGAAGTCAGGTACCCTAGGTCAGGTACCCTAGGTCAGGTACCCTAGGTCAGGTACCCTAGGTCAGGTACCCTAGGTCAGGTACCCTAGGTCAGGTACCCTAGGTCAGGTACCCTAGGTCAGGTACCCTAGGTCAGGTACCCTAGGTCAGGTACCCTAGGTCAGGTACCCTAGGTCAGGTACCCTAGGTCAGGTACCCAGGTCGGGTACCCAGGTCAGGTACCCTAGGTCAGGCACCCTAGGTCAGGTACCCTAGGTCGGTACCCTAGGTCGGTACCCTGGTCGGTACCCTAGGTCGGTACCCAGGTCAGGTACCCTAGGTCGGGTACCCTAGGTCAGGTACCCAGGTCGGGTACCCTAGGTCGGTACCCTAGGTCGGGTACCCTAGGTCAGGTACCCTGGTCGGTACCTAGGTCGGTACCCAGGTCGGTACCCAGGTCAGGTACCCTAGGTCAGGTACCCTAGGTCAGGTACCCTGGTCGGTACCTAGGTCAGGTACCCTAGGTCAGGTACCCTAGGTCAGGTACCCTAGGTCAGGTACCCTAGGTCAGGTACCCTAGGTCAGGTACCCTAGGTCAGGTACCCTAGGTCAGGTACCCTAGGTCAGGTACCCTAGGTCAGGTACCCTAGGTCAGGTACCCTAGGTCAGGTACCCTAGGTCAGGTAGCCTAGCTTCTGGCCTGGCCTAGTCCGGCCTATCGACCTGACCCGACCTGGCTTACCGGTTTTAGCCTGACTTTCCTGGGTACCTAGGACCAGGCCGGCTTGGCCCTGGCTTGGCCAGCTTGGCTTGCAGATTTGAGCCTGGATTTCTTAGCTTTCCTTTCCTAGCTTTCCTTTCCTAGCTTTCCTAGATTTGAGCCTGGCTTTCCTTGAATCGAAGCTAGATCTCTAAACCTGGCTTAACTGGCCCACGGACTTAAACTTGCTGGAAATCAGAACTAGGCCTAGTCTCTGGTTTTCTAGGGTTCTAGGAGCTTGGCCTGACTTTGGCTGTTAGGATTTGGCTTAGGCTTACTGCAGGCCTGACCCTTAAAGTCAGCCAGACAGAGCCAGAGTCAGACAAGACAAGAGCCAAGACTGAAAAACTGTCTTCAGTTCAAGTCTGACTTTGTCAGAATGGCTTGTCAGACAAATTTGTCAGAATCTGAACAAGAGCCAAGCCAAGAGCCAAGACAAGAGCCAAGAATTAGGCTTCTATTGTCCATTGTACCTATTGTAGCTAGCTACAGTCTAGCTTTCACTCACTTGTGTCACATTCCCGATCGTTGTCTTATCTCGTGCTTGAATGAACGCCTTGTACACGTGTTTTTCTTTGTATTTTTTCACCGCCGTTCTCACAACGCCACTCGTCGAGTCAACGGTGAACATTCCCGGAGCTAAACAGCTATTAAACAGATCTTTAAACAGATATTTAAAAAGATATTAAACAGATATTCTACAGATATTCTACAGTGCTTAATTCAAATCAAATAGCTTATAACTTTGACACTCACGTTCAGTGTTGATCAAAGTGTATTCAACGTCCGAATCTCCATCACCTAGCTCATCTCGGGCATCGAACTGAAATAGTTATCAAATCTTCGTGTTCTTTATGCAATTCCAGAATATTCAGCACATATTCTCTCAGTTTTCCTGTTGTTTAAGTAAAAGAATGATGCGTATTCTAGTAATTTGATCACTCAACTTATAAAGTACCTAGTAGACGTACGTACAGAGTACTCAAACTTATAAAGTACCTTGTAGACGTGCGTACAGAGTACTTAAACTTATAAAGTACCTAGTAGACGTGCGTACAGAGTACTCAAACTTATAAAGTACCTTGTAGACGTGCGTACAGAGTACTTAAACTTATAAAGTACCTTGTAGACGTACGTACAGAGTACTCAAACTTATAAAGTACCTTGTAGACGTACGTACAGAGTACTCAAACTTATAAAGTACCTTGTAGACGTGCGTACAGAGTACTCAAACTTATAAAGTACCTTGTAGACGTGGAATCCAATGGGTCGATCAAGCGGTACCACCGCCAAATAGGGTTTCGGTCCGTTGACAAACGCGGGCGGTTCATCGACATTGTCAACAATGAGACGGAGGAGGATCTCTCGTGCACCGCGATGCCCTACAATTTAGTTCTTGTATATTTAATTGCTTTAATGGTTTAGGATTGCTATTTAGATAGCTATAGATCAGATTGTTAACATTTTATCTAACAAAATAGAAATGAACATCAGAGAGGAAGAAGAGCAACAGAAACAATTCAAAATGAAAAACCAAGAGACTGACGACTCCGCATCGCTCCAGTTGACGCGAGAGACGAGATTTAGTGTAAAATAGGAAACATTTTGAATCATTTTCTAGAATTAGTGATTATCTTTTGTTGATTTTCATTCTATTTTGTAAAACGATGAGTTTTGGAAGTTCTCAAATAAGGTGGATAAGTTAAGAGACTCATAGTCAGATAACTAGCCGTGATAAAGCCTGCCTTAACTACCGTAACCCTGTCTAGATCTCTGCTAACAGGGCTAAGGCTACAATAGAGCCTACAGTAGAAAGTACTTGAATTCCTGTAGCGTCTAACTGGATTACGGTAGCCGATGGTTTAAAGAACCTGCTAGGTCCAGGTCAAGGGCCAGGTCCAGGTCAAGATCTGGGACCAAAACCAGTTCCAATTCCAGGTCTAGGTCCAGATCCAGGTCAAGATCTGGGACCAGAATCAGTTCCAGGTCTAGGGCCAGGGCCAGAATCAGGTTCAGGTTCAGATCCAGATCTAGGACCAAAACCAGTTCCAAGTCTAGTTCCAGGTCAAGATCTGGGACCAAAACCATTTCCAATTCCAGGTCTCAGGTCCAGGTCCAGATCCAGGTCAAGATCTGGGATCAGAATCAGTTCCAATTCCAGGTCTAGGTCCAGGTCCAGAATCAGGTCAAGATCTGGGACCAGAATCAGTTCCAGGTCTAGGGCCAATATTTTAGCCAGTTTTCAATGTTCCTTATCTAACTCTTATTTGAATGCTTTGATATTTACAAGCAATATTTACACCCCTTTATTTACTACGCATTTTTTTCCCTTTCAATAGGCTAACTGAAGTGGGATTGAGTCTATGAATAGACGCTAGAGGTCCTCCTTATCTTTTTCCTTGTTCTGCCCATTTTTCTCCATTCAGTTCAATGAATAAGATGCTCAAGTGGGGGAAAAGAGAGCAATTTTTTAGTCTTTCATCAAAAACGGATACTAATAAAGCTGTCCTTAGGCTAAATGTGTAAAGTTGAAGGGATAAAAGTACTGTAACTAGTACAGAAACTAGTACAATAACTAGTCCTGTAGCTAGTACAGTAATAGAATTGTTTATCGATCATCATTAGTACAAAATAGGAAAGGGATTACGCTAGAAAATGCACAAAAGGCCCATTTTTCTCGATTGAGTCCAATAAGTTGAAGATTCCAATGAAGATACTAGCTTCATTGTAGCTACGAATAGTAGAAGATCCGGCTATCTGTGCTTTCTGGCACTAAATTGACTGGTAGACAAGTCTAACCAAAGAGATTCCTGGTTATTCTACTTTTATCCATATTCTAGGAACAAGATCCACTAGTAGAGTTCAAATTTCTGGTGAGCTAAGTGGTAGAAACTGGCTAGGGCTTTAGGCTCAGATCCTGGACAGATCTAGGGACCCAGGTTCAAGTTCTGGTCCAAGGCCGGTCTGAGCCAAGATCAGAACCAGATCCAGAGTCAAGACCAGGACCAAGTCCGGTCCGGTTTCAGGACCAAGTCCAGAGCTAGGTCCAGGTCAAGGGTCAGGTCCGGGTCCAGGCCAAGATCTGGGACCAGAATCAGTTCCAGGTCTAGGGCCAGGGCCAGAACCAGATTCAGCTTCAGATCCAGGTCCAGATCTGAGACCAAAACCAGTTCCAGGTCCAGTTCCAGGTTAAGATCTGGGCCCAGAGCCAGTTCCAATTCCAAGTCTAGGTCCAGGTTCAGGTCCAGGTCAAGATCTGGGACCAGAATCAGTTCCAGGTCTAGGGCCAGGGCCAGAACCAGGTTCAAGTTCAGATCCAGGTCCAGTTCTGGAACCAAAACCAGTTCCAATTCCAGGTCTAGGTCCAGATCTGGGATCAGAACCAGTTCCAATTCCAGTTCCAGATCCAGATCTGGGACCAAAACCAGTTCCAGGTCCAGTTCCAGGTCAAGATCTGGGACCAACACCAGTTCCAATTCCAGGTATGGGTCCAGGCCCAGGTCCAGGTCAAGATCTGGGACCAGAATCAGTTCCAGGTCAGGGTCAGAACCAGATTTAGGCTGAGGGTACAGATCCAGAACCAGGAGGACATTCCCAAAAACCAAAAATAAACCAAAAATTCCCACTCTTTCTTGTAGTTTCTCGATTTTGACTAAAATTGATTTCGTCGACGATGTTGACAGGAAACGATGCTCGAAATTGGGTATCCAAATTTGTTTACCCAATTTTGAGTATCCAATTTTGAATCCATAAGCCTTTTAGAGGATTCCAATGAAGATATTAACCCCATTGCCCCTTTTCCCGGAAATCTCGGCACTAATTGAACCAAATTGGATCCGATATTCAGCCTGAAAAGATTTGATATAGATCTAGTTAAATAGAATTATTAGAATCTAAATTTAGAGTTGAATTTAGAGCTGAATTTAGAGCTGAATTCTAATATAAATTGATATTCGTGAATTTCCCCTTTAAACATCCCCAAACAGTGGACTAATTTCGCATGGATTCAATTCCTCTTTTAATTCCTCTTTCAATTCCTCTTTCAATTCCTCTTTCAATTCCTCTTTCAATTCCTCTTTCAATTCAATTCCTCTCATACAAATCCCTTCATCAAACAATCGAATATCATCAGCTTTTCTGTGTCTTTAAAGAAAGAATGCGTAAGAAAAGCAATTATTTACGTTCCCATTTTGATTTAGATACTTATTTTGAAGCTAAAGCTGATCAAGTCCGGTCCGGGTCCAGGACCAAGTCCAGGACCAAGTCCAGGACCAAGTCCAGGACCAAGTCCAGAGCTAGGTCCAGGTCAAGGGCCAGCTGATAAATGAAAAGATTCAAAAAGTTTATGACTTGAAAGATCCAGTTTTGTAGTGAGTATTTTTTAGATGATAAGTTTAGATGATAAGTGTCGAAATTCGTGATGTACTCTGTGATCTAAACTGTAAACGCCTCTCTTCTACACTTTGTTCATTGTTTTGGTCACTTGACTTTGTTTTGACTTGACACTTGACAATTAAACTTTGTTAGACACTTTTAGGAGAGTAAGACACTTTTAAGCTCATCATCTAATCAAGTTTTCGCTATATTTTGAAATCTTTAAAAATGTCAAAAGGACTAAGAATCGGATGTCCAGAAATCAATTTTCGGATCTCATTACCATTCTTTTCCGGATTTTCGGCTTCTTTGAAAACTTTGTTCTAAGAATAAGTTGAGCCAAGACCAGGATCAAGTCCGGTCCGGGTCCAGGACCAAGTCCAGAGCTAGGTCCAGGTCAAGGGCCAGGTCAAGGGCCAGGTCCAGGTCTAGGTCAAGATCTAGGACCAGAATCAGTTCCAGGTCTAGTTGTACTAAAATATTACAGTGATAAGAAGTCAAAAAGTCTACTGTATGCTGTACTTGGCTCTAAAACTTGTCTAAATTCAGAATTTGGTCCTTTTGGGTACTGTACTTACGTACTACTTCTTACGTACTACTGGTTACGTACTACTTGTTACGTACTACTTCTTACGTACTACTACTTACGTACTACTTCTTACGTACTACTTCTTACTTACTACTTCTTACGTACTACTGGTTACGTACTACTTGTTACGTACTACTACTTACGTACTACTACTTACGTACTACTTCTTACGTACTACTTCTTACGTACTACTTCTTACGTACTACTTCTTACGTACTACTGGTTACGTACTACTTCTTACGTACTACTGGTTACGTACTACTGTTTACGTACTACTTCTGACGTACTACTGGTTACTAACAATAAGAATCTATTAGATGGCTGCTGGCTTACTTACTAGACATAATAGGGGAAACTCTCATTCTTTCACAATTCAATTCTCCATTTCTGAGTTCATTACTTGAGCATTAAACTGGACTTGACTAATCCAGTCTAATCATTCATTGAGAGAAATCCCCGAGGGATTTCCCCCCAATGATCCCCCCAATGAATTCCCCCAGATCCGTTCCATCTTGAAATCGAAAAGAAAGAGAAAGACGAAACGTAATTAAGCTCTTTTCCACTTTTCAAGTTAACAACATCATCGATAAAAGATGAGAAGAGGCATACGAGAAGAGGTTTGACTACAGTTACGACAGGCACAAGACAAGCCAAAGACGCAAAATTTGTCCTCGGACTCGAACTAGAGGCTTTGCTTTGTATTCTAACCCACTGCCACTTGGCCACCACTGCTGCTCAATGGGAAATCTGCTGATAAACTCTGAAGCTTGAAACAAAAAAGCTTTGCAAAAACACAAAAAGCTTTGTAAAACAAAACTTTGCACGCTTATTTCTTTTCACAGAGTGCTTTATAGGCGAATTGAAAAGCAAATTCGGGAATCGGTGTTGAATTCTGCGTTGAATAACTTGTGGGAAATGTCATAATAGCAAATGTCACCACACCCAGTTAAAATTCCCCTTGTAAATATGGCTTCTAGTCGTCATACTATTTTCATATTGTGTTCTAATTGGTAGACATAGCTCCAATCGATGTAAAAGGTACAAATTTACAGCTAAATATCTTCTTTTTATACATTTATAAAGCAAAAAGAGAAAAGAAAAGAAAAAAGAAAAAGAGAGAAAAAAGAGCAAAAAGAAATAAACTGAAATGATTGATGAGGTGTTCTTTGTGCGGCAACATAATCGCTCGCTTTCTGGCACACGTTCCAGATAGATAGGTACCCCGAATCTCTTACCAAATTCCGAAAGAGGTCGACTTTCGAGTTCTGGTCTTTGTCAAAGTCTAAGTCTTTCTCATACGCTTCTAGTTCGAATCTCAACGCCCCCTCCCAGCAGCAGTCATAGCGCAGTGGATAGTGCGATGGTCTGCAAAACCATTCGAACCCCACTTTCAATGGGTTCGGATCTCTTTTCTGTTTT